TAACTTGTCCATTAATAATTCATGATTGATTGTGTCAAATGCTTTTTTTAGGTCAATAAATATTCCTATCGTGTATTTCTTCTCATCCATAGCACTTGTAATGTCCTCCATCAGGTCGGTAATGGCCAAAGATGTCGACCGGTTCGACCTAAAACCATACTGGCAATCAACGGTGTGTCACCTCAAACTTGTATAGGAACATGCTCTGAATCTTTTGACAAATGCTTAAATGCACATGGACAGTATGTGTGCCTTCCTCTGTCATATGTGTACATCAGTGAGCCAAAATGACTACTCACCGATGAATCGAGTAATGTTGATTATCCTGTAACAGCGGTGCTCCACTTACTGTCTTGGTGCAGGTTTACACAGGGTACCTTCAGAGATCTTGTAGAGTCCATGCCTCATCAACACAGAAAGGACAGGTAGTATATTAGCCAGTGGAGGTTGTGATGTTTTGGCTCATCTGTGTTGCCAGATTTCTTTCTCCCTCAGTATTGCTGTCTGTTATGTCTGTCCTTCATATGTGTCGCTCTGCCCAGTTTAACAGTCTTTAATGGGCTGTTTTCACCCCATGACCTTGGTCTGACAGAGGCTCCTGAAATGAGATATCCACGTTCAAAATAACCTTTTAAAACATATTTACTTCCAGGATATTATGTAGCATATGTTAACCTGCAGCTTATATCATTGTGGGGGTTGGGGTGACTTGATTTTGATAACTGTGGGTATTAAAGTAATGCTGAAGTACTGCTCCATTGTTTTCCGCTTGATTATGACTTAACCTTGTTTTGTTGTTGTTGTTGTACCTAACCAGGAACACCTAAGTGAAATTAAATCTCATTTCCAAGCATGTTAAAGTATGCAGACAGAAAGAAGTCCAATGCTTCTACTAAACAGACATGGAGCTATGGCTATCCTCTGACAGCTCTCACACGTCTGACATGCTTGTGGAATTTCTACATGCAGAGTGATAGACTGACTGAGACGTGTTTCATATGTATAGCAGAGATGTTTGCACAGAATGTTTCCATCTTGAATTTCATCTCCTGTTGATGCACCAATAAATAAAGCAAACATTTTTTTCTCCTCCTCTCCTTTATCTCAATCTTTCTTCCAAATCATCACCTTATGGTTTGTGCTGCAAATAAAAATCGACACATTCTTCTCTCCTGTCTCTCACATCTCCTATTTTTTTGATTCTCCTTTATGTTTTATCTTCTCTTCCTCCCTCCACCCTTCTTCTGCCACGTTTTCCATCTTTTTCTCTCCATCTTTTGTCTTTCTGCCTATGCTTCTTCATTCCCCTAACACCCTTCTCTCATTCCTCTTTTTCTTGCCTTCACCCTTCCTGCAATCAATCCTTCCTTCCTTTCATTGTTCCACAGAACCATGAGAAGGAAACAGCACTTCACTGCGCAGCCCAGTACGGACACACTGAGGTGGTTTCAGTGCTGCTCCAGGAGCTGACTGACCCCACCATGAGAAACAGCCAACAGGAGACACCTCTGGACCTGGCCGCGCTGTATGGACGGTTGCAGGTCAGTGACAGTGACATATTTCAGTTTTGTGAAAAAGCTCCTGAGCTGAAGGTGAATTCTTTACACTAGAGAGGTTAGATCTAGGTTGTGTGTTTTGAGACTGAATTTATTTATTTTTTTACATTATCTTCTGTTTTTTAAATGTTTAAAGTACACAAATTTGATCTGTAGTAGTCAAGCTGGAGACAATCTTGTATCTGAAAGTACAGTTTTGCTGGTCAAGGCCTGAATTTGTTCACTGTGTTCTAAAAGTAGATGGGTAGTCATTTACCACACAGCTGGTGCAGTATGATAGAAGGCTAATTTGGTTCTGTATCAGGATTTGGTAATTATGTAGATACAAAAGGTTGGAAAGGTGCCAGGTGTTTTAGAGCAAATTTTACAAATATTATTGTCTATTTCACAAAAATGCACTCCAAAATCATGTTATATCTTTATACTGCAATGCTGGTTAAACAGCATCATCACTAGCCCTTCACCGCTAACCTATTTGCCTAATGTGTCCTCACCTGGCTGATGAGCAAGTTACAGGTTTGGTGACAAGCTCAAAGCTTTAAAATGAGCAAGGAAAGGACACTTCAGAATAATTCCAACCTTTTGAAATTGAGAATGTCCTATGAACATCTGCTACTGGCCAGTACAAGGGCAGCAAACCCCCAATAGCTTTTTATTTGATATGACCAATTGTAACGGCTAATTATAACGGTTGCAAGAAATGAATCCAGGAGGATATATGAACCTCTGCCTGTGTTATGTATCCTGAAGCTCCTTGTTGGCAGGTGAAAGGGGGCAGCTGATGACTCCATCTGCACCTTCTGTAGGACAGCAGTGTCGAGGACCACGGTGCACAGGAATCAGCTGTTCCCAAGTGGAAGTCACTGTGGATTAATTGAAATACTGTGGAAATATGATGGAAAAGAAAAATTCCTCAGGTGTTTTAGACAAACAGGTTCATATTTTTAGAACAGTGACTTCACTCTTGTCAAATGTGACAAAAGGCGCGCGCACTCACACAGAAATGTGTATGCTTCAAATGCCTGCTGATCTTCAAATGCAATCACACATCATCTCTGCTAAGGTGCAGAGTAATTGCAGTCAAACCATACACATTTGTCTTGAGTGTTGATGAATAATTTATAAAGGCAGTACCTTGTTTCTCTCTCCCTCTCTACATAATAATGAAAGGAGGTCCCTGTGGTGGAAGCTACTGCTATATGGAGATGTAACTAACACAGCAAGAGTTTAGTATATTCACTCATACTGCACACACACACACATTAAAGGAGGAAGCTTTCAATAGAAGTACCTGTTGAGCTGAGTTATTAAAAGCATCATCCATGATCAAACAAAGGGGAAGCTCCACTGCTGCTGAGACTGAAAACAGCCTCCTTTAAAACTCAAGTTGATTGACAGATCTTTTGATACAAGTACTTAAGCTATAAAATAAGTGATTAAACAGATCTAAAATATACTTCAATGCAATTGTATATAATGCTATAAATTTAGCTAGAGCTGTTGGGAGTATTTCCTTCCAAAAAACTAACATGTTTTTAAGCTCTTTATATAGTAGCATTGTAGGTTTTGTACTGTAGAACATGGAACATAACCTCAGCATATAATGTAGTTAGTGTTGTGACCCTTACTGCCATGCTGTGCTTGACAGCTGATGATGCTAATGATATACTCCGTAGTTTTCAAAGTAAGGCTAGGTTACTACTGTTAGTGCCTTATAAGAGCAGGTTAGCTGCGGTGGCTTGCAGCTTATGTTAGAGCAGGGCTTAATCAATTTCTTAAACTTTTGCCCTTTTGTTTTTGGGTGTAGAAAGGCTAATAAAAGAAACCACCCTACGAGAAATCCAAAGACTTACAGCAATGCCCTGCCTGGTTATAATGTTATGATTGGACACCTGTAGCTTCATGAAGAGGTTTATCAAACATCTCTGTGCAGATTCTCAATCATCCAGGTCATAGTAAGATGAAAAAACAGCTGGACTAGATTTCTAGGTCGAAGACGTTTCACCTCTCATCTAAGAGGTTTCATCAGCTCTGACTGACTGGTGTTGAGCCGGAGATATTTATCCCCCTCGGTGGTGTTTCAGTCCTTTGAGTTTTTTCAGTTTATCAAACATCCAATTACACTACACTACCTATGAGCATAAAAGCAGTGCTATGTCTTGTCTTCATTAAGTGACTTGTCTGTGATTACGTAGCTTTTCCTTTAATATTATTTTTGAGTCTGTAGAATAACAAACTTAATATTTACAGTGATTTTTTTCTTCAGTAGCTTTAAAAGGTGACCAATGGCCCAGTTTCCCCTAAGTTTGCTGTTTTGTCATTGACACATGACTGGACTTTGGTGCACAGGTGGTGCGCATGCTGGTGAGCGCTCACCCCAACCTCATGACCAGCCACACTCGGCGACACACTCCGCTTCACCTGGCTGCACGTAATGGACACTACAGCACGGTCCAGACACTCCTTGAGGCTGGCATGGACGTCAACTGTGTGGTAAGAAAACACTCCTTAACAGATAGTTTTTATCGTTGCTGTCCTCTATCACTGTTCAAGGACTGAACAGAGTTCTAGTACAAATTATAGTTTGTGCAGTTTAGAGACATACCTTTTTGTCCTCTTGTCTTAGTGAATCAGGGATTAAGCGGTAGAAAATGAATGAAATGAATGAATGTCTTAGTGAATCTTTCTAAGTTTCTGAATCCAAATCTCCTTCCTCCTTGGGGGGCAGCTGTGGCTCAGGAGGTAGAGCGGGTCGTTTCCTAACGGGAGGATTAGTGGTTCGATTCCCAGCTTGTCCAGTCAACATGTCGAAGTGTCCTTGAGCAAGACACTGAACCCCCAGTTGCTCCCGGTGATAACACCGGTGTGTGAATGTGTGAGTTTGAGAGTGTGAATGGGTGAATGGCCGAGTACTGTGAAAGCATAGAAAAGTGCCATACACAAGTATTTACCATTCCTCTCACCTCTGTTGTATGTGGCTATTTTAGAGGCTGCTGCGTTTTTAATGACACAAGCACAACTTTGTTTTCTGTGTATGTATAAAAGTGTTTGTATCAGAGAGCATGTACAGTATAGTATATGTGTTGTATGCATTATTATTGTGTATTCTGAGTTGTCAAACATCTTTGTCCCAACCTTTTCTGGGCCATTTGATTTGTGAAGCCCTGTGAAAACACGCACATGCTTTGCTGCTTTTTCAACACTTTTTTTTTCCTGAGATGATTTACTTTGGCAAACTAAAGCATTTGACTGACTTGCCTTAAATGTGTAGAAAAAACAACTCCCTTGAGACTATTTGGGCACTTTTAATTGTGTAATCAGATTGACTGTAGTGCTGCTCACAATACAACTTGTTTTATTTGTCCCAGACTTAAGTTGATGTGAAGGTGTACAGCTGAAACAACTAATCTTAGACAAGGTTTACGGGTTTATATAGACTCTTCTGCAGCATTGTAAGATTTGCTCACCTTTGGCACCATTGTCTTATTTATTTGCAGAGCATAGTTTTGTCATTTAGTAAATATAAGAACTGGAAATCTTAACTATACATCTGCAGTAAGCACATTTCCAAGACTTGTGTGTGCCCTTCATTTCAGTAAACAGTCAAACTCTATCAGCAATACATGCAATTACATGTGAACATATGATAGGTGCTTGGATTTCTGTAGGGAGGCCTTGTTTCATACTGAGATCCTTTATACCACAGTGGTGTTTTGGTGATCACGACGGATCGAAGGAAAACCAGCTTCAAAGGTTTTGGGGTGCAGTAAGATGCAGAGCCTCAGGAAACTGCTGAGTCTGAATCAAGAAACCAGACAGTTTAGATGCTGAGGAGCCAGAGGCTGTCAATACCAGGGGGTGCTCAACAGACATGAGGGTAAACAGATCCTACAAAGCCTTTTTACACTGAAGGTTTTATACTGCATATTTTGGTACTGCACAGAGTGGGATAAATTTTGTGAATGTGACATGTACGTAGGTTCACATCTACTGTTGCCAAGATATGATCTGATTCAACATATGGCATAGCAGATGCTGCAGTCTTCCGTTTCCTTACTGTGTAAGTACAGTTTATGTGCTGTATATGAAGCATGTGAAATGGCTTCCTGCTGTACAGGTAGAGGACAGTATTTATAGGCACATTGCAGCTCAGCTCTGCAGAATGTTCAAATGTGTTATGAACATGCTGCAGCTGCAGTTTTGGAGGATTTGGTGAATAAGTGTGTGTGTAGTTTATCTTTGGAAAGACAAACAACTTGACCTGTTGGATATGGGAGGCGATCTGATGCTTTCACAGTGAAGAGACGCGTGACTCAGCAGCACTGCGCCCATCTTCCTGCCTTCTGTCCTTGTTTCTCCCTGTGTTTTTGTGTGCATGCAAATTCTGATCTGAAGAGCAGCGCTATGCTTCTCTGCAGGGATTTGGCCTCAGGCTCCATGTGTCTAGTAAGGATGAACACTACATACCTTTGATTTGCTTCATTTTCTCCACTGTACACACTGCTGCAAATCTCTTACTCTCTTTTTGTTGTTGCTGTTGTGCCTCTCTAGCTGGTGATTATAGGCCTTGTAACCCTTTATCTCCTTCTCTGCAATTTGCCCTTCATTCTTGCTTTGCTCTATTTCTGTTGATGTGGGATTGTCTATTAATGTCACATTTAATACACACTAGTAATTTGGTTAGAATCTAGTTTTTGGACTATCCCACTTACTGTAAGTCTGGCTTCTCTGTACCTCATGTTTCAGAAAGCATATGCACAGTTTCTAATCAGTTGGGTGATCACTCCCATCTGAGGAAGTGCACCTCTTTTGTGTGTCAGATTTGGCACGGGTTTTACATTATATTGTTATAGTATGTAAGAGTGTGACAAATGTTTCACCTCTGCAACATTAATTTTTGCCTGCTTTTGCTTGTATATGTACATGTGACAGACAATGACTAACTATTGTAACTGGATTACTTCATTAGAAACCAGAACAATGTGCATGTCAGTTTATGCAGATTTCTGATCATTCTCTGTATTGTGTGAGGGTCTGTGTCTGCAACTCCAGTTATGTTTAATCAGTTAAAGATAATATGATAAGTCATGTGATGGTGTCAGTTAAGTGGACAAGTATTGTTGCTCTTGACTTCTGTTGCTGATGATTAGATAAGGTACGTCGAGTAGTCTGATAACTACAGTAATCGGTAAGTGAGTCGGTAAGACTCGTAATTGAGATACTAGTGTGCATGGAATCATACAGACAGGTGACAGCAGCTTAGTAAGGTGTTGGACCACCATGTACTGCCACAACAGCTTCAGTTCACAATGGCACTGATTTTCCACGTCTCTGGACTCTACTGGAGAGATGGACACCATTCTTGCAAATGATTTTCCTTCACTTGGTGTTTTTGATGATGGTGGTGGAGACACTGTCTAACACACCTCCCATAGCTGTTCAACTGGATTGAGATCTGGTGACTGTGAAGGCCATAGCATATGATTTTAATCCTCATCCAACCATTCGGTGACCCCTCATGCCCTGTGGGTGTGGGCAGTGTCATCCTGGAAGAGAGCACTACCTTTAGGATAGAAATGTTTCACCACAGGATGAAAGTGATCCCCAACACCCTCGCCATCTCTTTCTCTCTGTAGCATATTTTACTTGGCAGCAGTGTCGGAGCTGTACAGTTAGGTATATCTGTATAACTGTGGGCGACTTACAAATGGCCACCTTGTAAATTGTCATGAGTATAAATCATTGTGTATGTGTGACAGAGAACGACAGTCCAGGTCAGTAATTGGAGTCAAGCCGTATAGGCCTGTCTGAGTGTGAATGAATAATTTATAGAAGCAGTACAGTCTCTCTCTTCACTTTCTCTCTCGGTTTCTCTCTTTCTCTCCTCTTCTGTTTCCATAATAATGAAGGGAAATCCCTACGGAGGGACCTGCTGCTGGGTGGGCAGGTCGCCAGCACGGGGCAAAGCTTAGTATGAACACAGACTCGCACAAACAGATAAGACCGCTTTTTCATGCCATCAGTGAGCCATTGCTACATTTCCGCCAGCAGCAACACAAAGTCTCCTGCCGTTCAATTCCTGGAAACTCTTTGATTAAGAATCAACTTACTTGTTTCCTTATGACATCATTGCGTAATCACCATGGGAAACAGAACAGGAAGTGGTATAGAGATGACTTTGAGAGGAAGGTCAGGAGGCCAAGTGGTGTGTATATGAGAGGAAAAGTGGGTGGATCATTTCCTCTGCCCCCACCTCCCCTTACATGGTTGTGGGTAAAAGAGGGGCTCCACAGGTTAGACTTTCACAGTTTGATGCACTCGGTGATTCTGTAAATGTGACCGCTCATCTTTTTTTTAGACTTGGGATTTACTCCAGAACTTTGACCTTTTAAGGTAATTGCTGCAGCTGGCATATTTTCTTGTTTTTCCCCATCAGTCCCTTCTCTGTGTGTGGGTATGACATTTATATTGCAGAGGACATTGAACAGCTACAGTAAGTTTAGTACTCCCTGCAGTGGCCATTGATCCGGTGCAGTGTCACGCTGAGTTAAGTTTCCCGGCTGCCTATCAGCAGATCTGGCTGCCGTCCAAATAATTTGTCTTCATTAAGGATGGGAGTTTGGCTCCCTCCAGGTTTTTATCTGTGTTGTCAGGAAGCCAACCGTGAAGACTACGACAGATTCAGCATATTATGTGTATTGTTGCATGTGTGTGTCTGTCATGTATGTACAATGTGGGATCAAGTTCAATTCCTTGATGTCCCTAATGGGTGTGTTTGCTTCCAGCCCAATGTACATGGCATTATGTTGAATATGTAATTGAGACACATAGGAAGTATATGGTCCTACAAAAGTAATGACTGCAGTAACTGTTTGAATAGCTGTACTGATATGGCCATAATCATTTTGTATGGTAAATATCATTCATGTCTCTTTGAAATAAATTCTCCTTTGCCTTTGAAAGTAAGGAAATGTCTCGAGACAACTATTATAACTTGGAGAGTTGTTTTGACTGCTACCAAAAAGGTTAAAAACTGGACAGTTGCTGGAGGATAGGAACATCCAGAGTTCAGTCTAATCCCCATTGCAACAGTAAATTCACAAAGGTTATAATTAATTTTTAATGGCGCACGCCTGATACAACATCGGGATGAGCATACACTCTTGTGTGGTTTGATTACATTTTGGGCCATAAAAATGAAATTCACTTGAGTTTGTACCATATGAAGGCAAAAACATTAAGCACACTAATATAACAAGAGAAAAATTAAAGATAACATGCAAGTTTTGAATATTTGACTTTAGTACCCTAGGCACATAAAAACACTACATCTGGTGGCTTTAAATGGATCTGTTTTTGTTTTACTCCCCCTACGCAGTGCGATTAGACAGCTGCTTCTTTGTATTGAGGCTCCTGAATGTTGCTTTGTTAAAAGTGGCCTCGTCAGAGTCGCCGTCTCCTGTCCCTGTTGATTCACGATGAGGCACTTAACCAGCACCCTACGCATCGTAGTTTACATTTGTTGCATCATACAGTATCAGTAAAATCCCCTTTAGTAGCACTGGAGGCAGATGAGGGCCGGTACATGTGGAAATAGGGATGTTTTCACACAGGCCCCCGCTGCTTGTGTAATGGTTTGATCGGTGTGGCCTCATGCTGTTTGCAGGCAAGGATATAATCTC